AGTGGCTACGGCAGCAGATCCTGCAGGAGGACTTCCGCAGGCGCCACACGGGAGGTGGTGCTGCCAACAAAACTGCTGAGGGGTATGGAGCTGCAGGAGGCAGCAGAGGAAGACGGGGTGGGAGAGGCCGAGGCCGCGGGAGAGGCTTTGGCAGAGGGAGAGGCCGAGGTGACTACAATGAGGGGCATGGGAGCTCTGGCGGCAGGGGGAGCACCCGAATGGAGGGTGCGTGCTGGTACTGCAAGAAGGTTGGACACCCATGGTTCAAGTGTTTCAGCCGGCCGGAGGGATGGGCGCCCCCAGGCATGAAGCCGCCAAGTGGTGAACGTGCACGAGGTGGCGCTGTGCAAGGTTCAGGTGCACAAGGTGATGGTGCACAAGGTAAAGCCGACCCTGGGATGTTCCTCATGGTTGAGGATGTGCAAGGGAGTGGGGGTGATGTGGGTTCAGCTGGGAAGGTTGTGATGCACCCCCTCACCCACTGGGTGATAGATTCAGGTTGCACAAGTCACATGACCCCACGGGCAGATTTGCTTGACGAGGTAAAACCCCCAGGGAAGATCAAGTTTGTGGCTGCCGCTTCAGGTGCTTTGCTCCCTGTGATTGGTGTGGGGAATGCCAAGGTGATGGGAGCCAATGGGGGGCTTGTGGGACTTGGGAATGTGCTGCTGGTTGAAGGTTTATCCGCTAACCTCCTCTCTGTGCGCTGGCTGCAGAAAAGCAAGGCCAAAGTTACGTTCGGCCCAACCAGCTGCCGTGCAAAGCTTGGGAAGTTGCTGCTGTGGGATTTGGATGAGAAGAGCAGCTGCATCAAGGACCTGTGGCAGCTGCCCATCATCCCTTGGAATGGGAAACCACCAGCAACGGCAAAGGCAGCGGCAGCGGCTAAGGCAACTGCGGGAGGAGAGGAGACTGCACCAACTGCTGGGGCCCTGGATGCAGTCCAGAAGGTGCAACAGCCACATGGTGAGGTGCTTGCTGGTGTGGATGCAACAGCTGCATGGGCAAAGGCTTCATCTGGGAGTGGTGAGGCTAATTGGGAGACGTGGCACGAGAGGCTGTGCCACATCAACATTCCCATGCTGCAGAAGTTGGTGAAGGATGGGAGCTTGAAGGGGCTGGAGGTGAAGGGGGCAGCAAAGGAGGTTTTGGAGCTACCCTACATGCCTTGAGACTAAATTCACCAAGTTCCCCTTCAGCAGCAGCACAGGACCAGCCAAGGCTCCACTTGCACTAGTGCACATGGATGTGGTGGGCCCCACGAGGGCCCTTTCTCTCTCGGGCAGCCGCTACTTCTTGACGATAGTGGACGACCACACGCGTGCGGTGTGGGTGTACCCTCTCAAGACCAAGGGGGAGGTGGCAGCGGCTGTTCTCAAGGAGTGGATGCCGAGAGCTCAAAGGGAGAGCGGACATAAGGTGAAGGTGATCCGCACTGACAACGGGGGAGAATTCATTGGCGCTGATTTTGAGGCAGTGCTGAAGAAGAAGGGGATCCAGCATCAGCTCACGGTGCCCTACAACCCTCAGCAGAACGGCGTGGCTGAGCGGTTCAACCGGACCCTGCAGGAAGGTGCTCGCACTCTCCTTGGGCGTGCAGGGCTGCCGGATCCGTTTTGGGTGACGTCGCCCTTGTGAAGAACAGGGTGCTGGCGACTGTGGGGGACAAACAGTGGGTCCCCTACACCAAGTGGTATGGGAGTGCACCAGCTGTGAACATGCTGAGAGCCTTTGGGTGCATGGTGGTGTTTCATGTGCCTAAGGAGAAGAGGGGAAAACTGGAAGCTTCTGGGAGATGGGGTGTGCACTTGGGGCTTGCTAAGGATCACAAGGGCTGGCTGATTTGGGACTTGACCAGCCAGCAGCTGACTGTGTCAAGGGATGTGAAGTTCCTTGAGTCCTTGTACTACAAGGAGTGGAAGCAGCAGCAGCAGAAGCTTCCCACTACACCGCTGATCATTGAGGCCGATGAGGTGCAGCGGCCTTCGAGAGAAGTGCAGGTCACTGTCTCAGAGGAGGAGATCTCTGGGGTGACTGAGGATAGGGGAGAACCAGAGGTGGAGGAGCAGCAGCAGCAGCAGCAGCAGCAGCAGCAGCAGCAGCAGCAGCCGCAGCAGCAGCAGCAAGGTGCTCCACAAGGTGCCGCACGTACGGCTGACCGTCCTAGGAGGGATGTGCGCCCTCCTAACCGGCTGACGTATCCGAGCTTTGACAAGCCAAGTGTGGTGCCAGCTGGGAGTGTGACTGAGAAGTGTAATGAGGATGAGATAGCCTATTGCTCTGGGGCTGGATTGAGAGGTTTTGGAGGATAGTGCTGTGAGAGAGAGGCTACAGCGGGGTGCTGCAGATTTGGGCATAATGGATATGTTTGGTCGTTCGCTGGGATGAGCAATGAAAGGAGATTGGAAGGGAATGAAGTTTGCTGGAATGAGTGTGCATTGAGTGTGCATGCTTGAGCTATGGCATGTGGGATGATGGTTGGCAGCCAGAGGGGGAGTTTGTTGAGTGATGCTACCATTCGCATTCACGTCTGTCTGCCTCCCATCATATGTTTGTGCGTTGCATGCGTGGTGTGAGCGTGTGCAAGAATTTGTGTTTTGGTGTGGTTTGGATTTTCTGAGTATGTGTATATGTTCTTTGGCTTGAGCAGATATCTGAAGTGACTCCTCTGCTCAAGAGCTTTCTGACGAACCAAGTATCGCTTCAAGCGGAGCACGAACAAGAAGTTACGAACGTTGGAAGTTCGTATGCTTTTGATATATGGTTGTGGTGACTATGGGAAGTTGTGGGGTTGACTCCATGAGGGGTATAGACTTTTGGGGGTTGGGAAATTCGTCAACATCACTGTAGATGCTGCCAAGTGGTTGGGAGGAGCCAAACCAGGTTGGCAAGTGTGGCCAAGTTGGGCAAGGTGGATGGCATGGGTTGGGAAAGTAACAAAAGTGAAAGTGGGGTTGCCTATGGAGAGGGGAATTGTGTGGCATGGGGTTTCCTTGGTTGGGGACTCTCTTGGGACCTTCCCTCTCGTCCTTCTCATCCCATCCCACCTGGTTTATTGCTACTCTAACTCTCTTGTGTAGTATTTGTGAAATTGTGAGACTCTCATCATTGAGTTAAGTTCTCATGGCAGCATACCCCCCTGTGCGCCGAAATTGATAAGTCGAGTTTTACTTCACCTCTTGATACGATTCAAATTGGGATTTGTAGCCACGGACTAGGGCTACAACATATCTGAGTTTGGTGAAGGTTTGACCGTGAACTTTTCGTCGACGGCGTTTCTTGTGAACTCGACTTTTCTGTCCAGAAATTGAGACCAACGATTTTGAGAAATTTAGGCCCATAATCTTCATAGACTCCGTCCTTAGTCTCTAACAGTAGGTACTCAATCTATTTCTGCATGTCTGTCAGCTCGGTCGAACTAAGGCGGTATGGTGCACGGGAGACGGGTTCCGCACCTAGTTCCTCCACGATCTCGTGTTCGTAGGTTCGGCCTGGAGGCACTCCTACAGGCAGATCATCTGGCATAACGTCCTTGTACTTCGTTGACACCTCCTGTACTGCTGCAGGTAGCTCCGAGTTTGGCTTCTCCTCCTCTGCTGCTGCCATCACCAGTGCTAAGTAGTCCGTGTTACTCTTGTTCACTGTCCGTTCAAACCGTGCAAGTGTTGTCTCAGGATAATTTCCTGCATACGTCCAGCTTAACAGCTCCACACGTTTCCTGTTGTTCTAGATGCATGTTTTTGAAAATCACGCCCCAAGATAAATCTAACCCTTTGATCATCGTGATCGGCAACGTTGGCTTCCACCTCAACGCACCTATCTGCAGCTGCGATGTTGACTCGTTGTGGATGTGAAGCTTTGCATCGTACACCATCGTTGCTGTATACCGGGTCTGTTTTGAGGACTCTCCAATTTTCTTCAACGTCCCGCGATCGCACACCAAGTGGGACGCACCACTATCCACCAATGCCTGAAGACGTCGTCGTTTGCAGATCACCTCGAGAAGTAGTGGTTTCTGCTGCGCTGAGTAACCAAAGATAGTCTCATAAATAGGACGAAAAGATACATCAAAAGAGCAAGGGGCACAGCACGGTCACACGACTTTCGAACCAAGTACGAAAATCGGGCCACGCGTTGAGTGGGAGCTCCTTCGGCGTAGTCTCAGCAGCAAGAGCAGCAGGACGCTCGGGAGCAGGCATCTCACCTAACACGAGGGCGTCAAGGGAGACATAATCCTGGCGCTGGCTCCGCAAGTGGAGCTTGACGTCAAGCAGCCATGCATCAAAGTCTATCGCCCGCCCCTCTGCATCGAGCCGCAGCACAAATCCAGACGCCATGACAGGAGTGAGCAGGGGCGCAGCTGCAGATGAGAGGGGACGTCGAGCAGTAGCAGGTGGGGCGGCGGCAGGCGCGGCGTTTGGCGCGGGTGCGGGTGCGGGTTGGCAGGTGTGACAGGCACGGGCGTGGCGGCGGAAGGCGCGGCGAGCGCAAACGTGGGTGCGGGCGAGGGCTAGGGCATTGGGCAGTAGGCGTGCGCGTGGTAGGCGTGGGCGGCGGCAGGCGCCGGCACGGGCATGGCAGGCGTGGCTGTGGCAGGTGCGGGCGTGTGCGTGGCAGGTGCGACTGCAGTAGGCGCGGGCGCAACAGCCGGCATCGAGGGGAAAGGGGGGCGGGGGAGGGCAACGGAGCTGCAGTGGAGCAGGACAGGGTGCGACGGGGCGCAAGGAAGGGGGTGGGGTGAAAGGCCGCTAGAGGGTGGGGGGTCATGAGGGCAAGAGGGGCAGCTAGAGACGTAGGAGGCGAGTAACTTTCATCTGATGCCGTACCATACTAGAAACAGAAGCGAATGACTAATGAGGGCATACAAAAGGGGGTATAAGTATCATCCTATACCCTCTATAGAACAATCCAACCTAGCCTACGGAGTCCACATGCAAATGTATAAGTGTACGTTGACAACACGGGAACAGCCATTCTCTACGAGCTTGGACACATTATATTCACCAATGCAATGGAGAGAACCTAATGAGCTCTAGATGATGGTTCTGGCCTCCATTCAACCCCGGCTTGCCATCCTTCAGAGCACCGTCAAGCACACCCCTCCCATCTCCATTGCTCGGTGCAACTCCACTTGCACCTTCCCCAGCCTCCCGTTGACCCTGCGCCCCACCCATGCCTGCCTCTGTGTGCTGGGCGGGTGTGCTGCAGTGGGAGAGGCGGCTGCCGTGGGGCGTGGGGGGCGCGGGGGACGACCCCACGTGGTCGCATGAGGGCAGGGCGGGCAGGTGGAGGGGCGGCAGCAGGAGCGGTGGCAGGGACAGGGGGGGCAGATGCAGTGAGGGAGGGGTGGAGGGGGACGTGTGAGAGGCGACGTGTGAGTGAGGGTGGAGCGAGGGCGAGTGGAAGGAGGAGTCCAGGCCGATGAGGTGGAGAGGGGAGGGAGGCGACGCAATCAGCTGCCACTCGCCGCTGCCACTGCCACTGCCGCTGCCACCTGTGCAGTCGCCCCACTCATGCAATCCCGGTGACAGGTGGCCATGAGAGTGTGGGTGCGCCGCCAGGCTGGGCAGCGAGCTGCCAGCGTTTCCACCAGCCGCAGCCTGAGGATGCTGCGCCCCTCCTGTCACCTGCTCTCCTGTGTGCCCCTCGCCATGCACCTCGCGGTGCCCCGGTGAGCCCTGCAGCTGCGCCATCCACTGCTCCATGCTGCACATGCCGTGAGTCACAAGGTCCGCACTGCCACGGGTGCTGTGAGCGGCAAGAGGGCGCTGACTGGCGTGCGCAGTGCACGGGGTGTGGAGGCCATGAGGGATGTGCGGAGCATGTGCGGCCTCAGCTGCAGCCGCAGCCGCAGCCTCAGGCTCCGCCTCCATGGCAGCGTGCACGCTGGCACGACCGGCTGCTTTCATGCCGTTGCCACCCTGCCCTCCTCCAAAATTCCCTCCTTCCTCCTCAGTATGCCACTGCGGATGCCCGTCACCATACATGCTAACATGCATGCCTGCATGCCATTGCACCACCTCCTCATCCCACTCCCCTTCGTTCATGCCCTCCCCTTTGTTCATGCCCTCCCCACTTGCCCCCACTCCTCCTCCTCCTCCTCCTCCTCCTCCTCCTCCTCCTCCTCCTCCTCCTCCTCCTCCTCCTCCTCCTCCTCCTCCTCCTCCTCCTCCTCCTCCTCCGTGTGTCACAGCATATTTCGCAAGCACACTCACGTGCCCTGCTGCCCGCTGCTGCTCTGCGCCGTACCGGGCCACACTGCTTGACAAGGGCCGTGGGGGCAGCATGAAAGTGGGGTGGGATGGCACGGGCATGAGAGAGGGTGACGGCTGCAGTGCAGCATTGGGATGGGCCCAAGCAGCCTCACGAACAGACGCAGCATCCTGCTGCTGCTGCTGCTGCTGCTGCTGCTGCTGCCGCTGCTGCTGCATGCGAGACGGCTGTGCCCCTTGCCCAACATGCGTCTCCCACCTTTCAGGGTGCTCGCGCGCTCGCTCCCACTCACCACCTTGCATGCCATCCTTCCCCTCTCCTCCCCCCGCCTCTCCTCCTCTCACCACCTCCATGCCTTGACGCTCCTCTCCTGCCTCCCACGCACTCACCTCCCTGCACACTTCCCCCATCGCCCCCTGCTTTACCTTCTCCTCCCCTCTATCCCCTTCCCTCACCCCTCCCCCTCCCCGCCTGCCCTCTCCCCCCATCTGCCCCTTCCTTGTCCTGGATTTGGATTTGCTCCGCATTGCCTCCCCACCTGCCTTCGCCATACCCGCCTCGCCTGCCCCCGCCTCACCCCCACTCTGCTTCGCCCTCTTCCCCCGCCCCCCCTGCCTCCCCCGCCCCCTCCCTCCGCCTCTACCGGCTGCGCCCTGCCGCTTCCTCCCCCCGCCAGCAGCAGGCTGCTCGGAGAGCGTGTCAGCCGATGCGGCTAGCGGGGTGGAATGGGCCGACACACTGCATGACGCTGCTGCTGCTGCTGCCACTGCTGATGGTAGCAGGGAGCCATCGCCACTGCCGCCACCACAGCCACCACCAGGGTCAGTGCCTGGGGCTGAGGTACCGCCAGGTGTCAGACGCCCATTGGAAGCAGGGAGGGAGGGCAGCAGCAGTGAGGACGAGGGGCGTGCCAGAGAGGGCAGTGGCGGTGTGGCGGCGGAGCGAGGAGGAGGTGCGGACGAGTGGGGAGGCGGGGCGAGGAGGATGGACCTCAGCTGCAGGCAGAGGGCGGGGAGAGGACGAAAGGAAGGCTTGGGTGTGCGGTGCAGGTGGGGCAGGGGAGTGTGGAGTAAGCAGCGTAAGCAAGGACAAAGAGATGTGAACATGTGGGATCAGATGGGATGGCGTTACACCTCATGTGGTGGATACATGCATGTTGTGTGGAGCTGTGGTGTGCAGTGGTGCTGTGGCGTGCAGTGGTGTGGTGTGGCGTGCAGTGGTGGTGTGGCGTGCAGTGGTGGTGTGTGGCGTGGTGTGGCGTGCAGTGGTGTGGTGTGGCGTGGTGTGGCGTGCAGTGGTGTGGTGTGGCATGCAGTGGTGTGGTGTGGCATGCAGTGGTGTGGTGTGGTGTGGCAGGCCAGCCCAGAAAGCGCAGAGGGACTCACAGCAGGGGGGGCGAGCAGCACACCGGAGAGCGTGTGGGCGCCGACCTGCGCTGCGAGCGTGACACCGCCGTCAAACACCCCATCCACACGCACTGCCAACGATGGCCCGGACTGCCCAGCACAGCAGAGGAGGGGAAGGGGGGGTGGCCGAAATGGAAGGAGGTCAGAACAGGCGGCGAGCACATGGAATAGTGTGATGGTGGAGGTGCACTATGTGCCGTCTATCCAGCGCCCACGGCACTGAGGGGAAAGCAAGAGCAGAGGCTCACAGGGCAGCGCACGACGCGGCCGATGCCGAGGTGCAGCAGGTGCGCGTGGGAAGGCCAGCCCTCTCCGCCAAACCCCCCTCCCTCCCCCGCCTCCATCGCCGTCACGCCTCCCTCTCCCTCCCCACTGCCCTTGCATGCCTCACCCCTGCCATCCCCCTCCTTCCCCTCCCCTCCCCCGGGCTGCCCTGCCCCGCGGTGCGCCGTGGCATGGCCCACGGGGCGGCCGTGCAGCGCAATGAGGGGCCGCGCTGCCACGGACGACGGCACGGCCAGGTGCTGCCTGGGAGGGGCGGCCTCTGACACGCGGGGCTGCTGCGGGGCAGAGGAGGGTGTGGCGTGGAGGGCAGAGGAGGGCGTGGAGAGAAGAAGAGCGGCAGGAATGGCAGCAGCGGCATCTGCAGCACCAAGAACATCCCCTTGCTGCCATGTCATGCCACATGGCTGCTGCCATGCAGGCAGCGTGTCATGGTCGAATGGCGACAGCTCCACCCCGCCCCTCCCTGCCATCCCATGTGTCCGCACCACCTCACTGCCGCGCCCCACACCTCCACTGCCTGCTCGCTTCGGTGGCAGCTTGGGCCGACTGCCACCGCTCAAGGCAGTAGTATCACCTCTTACGCCTGCACCTGCTGCTCCTGCACCATCTCTTCCCAAGCCCCCACGCTCTTCTCCACCATCCCCATCCTTACCACCACTGTCTCCCTCCCCCCCTTCCCCCTTCCCACTCGCATCGCTACCCACTGCCGCCCCTTGCCCCGCCACCATACTGCTTCCCCCCTTCACTCCACCCCCGTCCACGTCTCCTCCCCCACCGGCCTGCCGGGCTCGCAGCGCTGCGCTCACCATGCGCTCGCCCGCCTCCGACACCACGTAGCGCCGCGGCCGCCCCCTCGCCCTGCCCTGCTGGGCCCCCGCTGCTGCTGCACCTCGTGCTGGCTCCGCTTGCTCGTTGCTCTGCCTGCCCCTTGGGATGGCGGAAGGAATCAGGTGCGGAAGGGTGGTACCGCGGATGGTGGCTGCTGGCTGTGACGTGCAGGGCGCATCTGAAGGCGGGTGGAGAGGGAGTTCAACAGGAGAGGATGGGTGGGGATGGGGGGGGATGGGGGGGGAGATGTGGAAGGAGAAGGGCTGAGTGAGGGCGGATGGGTGGCATGGATGGGGGACGGTGAGTGTGGTTATGGCAGACCTGTGCATGCGAGTGCACATGGTGCTTTCAAGGAATCCACCTGCAGGGGCATGACTCGAAAGGCCCATGTGAGAAACTTGGGGATGACAACATCGGAGGATGTGTGCGGCTTGGTTGCCTGTAGGCTGTAAGCGATAGAAAGCAAGCAATGAATGAACATAACACAGAGTTGCACCATGATGATGTGCATGCACAGCCATGATGATGATGATGCGAGGCCACACCCATCCATCCATCCATACTGTGTTCCTCGTGCCAACAACCCTCCCCACCAACACCGCTCACCATCGTTCAGAATGCCCGCCAGCTCGTCAAGAAAGCTCCTCTCTTCGCCTGTCTGCTGCCTGCCCACCTCCGCCTCCTCCTCCCCTCCTCCCTCCCACACCGCCCTCCACTCCATCGCCTCTCCTCCCTCCCGCCACCTCCCCTCTGCCATCCCCCCCTGCTCTTCCACGCCCACAGCCCTGTCTCCTTGCTGCACTGCCTCTGCCCTGCTGCCCTTCTCCTCCTCGCCCTCCATGCCTCCCCCTGGCCCCCCTGCACCAACAGCAGTGGGCGCGGCGAGGAGTGGCGCTGTGATGGACGCAGTGACGGGCGCACAGGTGGCGAGGGGCGCAGCAGGGGCGGGCAGAGAGGCGGAGGAGAGGGGGCGCGCACAGAGAGGGGAAGCACTGGCGGGCTGGTGGGGTGGTGGGGAGGGGGAAAGGAGTGGCGAGGTGGGAGGAGGATGGGGAATGCATGGTAGACAGTAGAGGATGAGGAGAGGAGGATACAGTAGGCAGGGTGAGTGAATGTGGAGGAGAAATGAAGGAAGGTGCACACTGCGGTGAGAAGAACGAGGGGACGAGATGAGAGAGCTGACGGCAATGCAGCAAGGTGTGCCTTGCTTCGAATGGTCACCTAACTCATGCCATGCTTCGTGCACACATGCCATGCTCTGTGCACACATGCCATGCTCTGCACACACATGCCATGCTCTGCACACACATGCCATGCTCTGCACACACATGCCATGCTCTGCACACATAGTAGGAGCGGCAAGCAGGAGCAGGCGAGGGTGGGTGCTCACCGGGAAGTCGAGGTGGAGCAGCATGAGGTCGCTGCACGGCTGCTCGTCCCGCCCACAGCTGCCGAGAGAGCGCACGTATGGGGTGGATGGGAAGAGGGAACAGGCATGCAGTGGGTGGGAATAGAGAACGGGTCGCAAACGAACAGGAGCAAGCAAGGCAGGAATTGCAATACAAGAAATGAATGTAGCAGAGAGAAGGCTGCAAGTGCGAGGAGGTGAAAGAGGAAAGGCCAATACATGGTGCAAGCAGGGGGCCATGGTGCAAGCAGGGAGGGGGCCATGGTGCAAGCAGGGGGCCATGGTGCAAGCAGCGGGCCATGGTGCAAGCAGGGGGCCATGGTGCAAGCAGGGGGCCATGGTGCAAGCAGGGGGCCATGGTGCAAGCAGGGAGGGGGCCATGGTGCAAGCAGGGGGCCATGGTGCAAGCAGGGCCATGGTGCAAGCAGGGGGCCATGGTGCAAGCAGGGGGCCATGGTGCAAGCAGCGGGCCATGGTGCAAGCAGGGGGCCATGGTGCAAGCAGGGGGCCATGGTGCAAGCAGGGGGCCATGGTGCAAGCAGGGGGCCATGGTGCAAGCAGGGGGCCATGGTGCAAGCAGGGGGCCATGGTGCAAGCAGCGGGCCATGGTGCAAGCAGGGGGCCATGGTGCAAGCAGGGGGCCATGGTGCAAGCAGGGGGCCATGGTGCAAGCAGGGGGCCATGGTGCAAGCAGGGGGCCATGGTGCAAGCAGGGGGCCATGGTGCAAGCAGGGGGCCATGGTGCAAGCAGGGGGCCATGGTGCAAGCAGCGGGCCATGGTGCAAGCAGGGGGCCATGGTGCAAGCAGGGGGCCATGGTGCAAGCAGGGGGCCATGGTGCAAGCAGCGGGCCATGGTGCAAGCAGGGGGCCATGGTGCAAGCAGGGGGCCATGGTGCAAGCAGGGGGCCATGGTGCAAGCAGGGGGCCATGGTGCAAGCAGCGGGCCATGGTGCAAGCAGGGGGCCATGGTGCAAGCAGGGGGCCATGGTGCAAGCAGGGAGGGGGCCATGGTGCAAGCAGGGGGCCATGGTGCAAGCAGGGGGCCATGGTGCAAGCAGGGGGCCATGGTGCAAGCAGGGGGCCATGGTGCAAGCAGCGGGCCATGGTGCAAGCAGGGGGCCATGGTGCAAGCAGGGGGCCATGGTGCAAGCAGGGGGCCATGGTGCAAGCAGGGGGCCATGGTGCAAGCAGGGGGCCATGGTGCAAGCAGGGGGCCATGGTGCAAGCAGGGAGGGGGCCATGGTGCAAGCAGGGGGCCATGGTGCAAGCAGGGGGCCATGGTGCAAGCAGGGGGCCATGGTGCAAGCAGGGGGCCATGGTGCAAGCAGGGGGCCATGGTGCAAGCAGGGGGCCATGGTGCAAGCAGGGGGCCATGGTGCAAGCAGGGGGCCATGGTGCAAGCAGGGGGCCATGGTGCAAGCAGGGGGCCATGGTGCGAGCAGCGGGCCATGGTGCAAGCAGGGGGCCATGGTGCACGCAGGGGGCCATGGTGCAAGCAGGGGAAGTGAGGGGCGGCTGTGATGGCAACACGATTATGGAGGTACGTAAGGGGCGAGTGAGGAAGAGCAACGGAATGCACTCCAGTTCCCTCCCTAGTTTCCATGCCCTGGTTCTCCCCCCTCCCACCTTCCCCACTTCCCTACCCCCACGCCCATCGCACCCACCCGCCAAAGAGTGCGACGGTGCAGCCGTCGGGCAGCAGGGTGGCCGTGTGGGAGAAGCACGCCCGCGGCTGCTGCCCCTCCTCCTCCCCCGCGGCCCCTGCCTCCGCTGCTGCTGCCCACGCTGACTCTGCTTCCGGCTGCTCCTCCATCGACTCGTGTGATGCCAGCATGGCAGGGCCGGCTGTGATTGGTGGATGCAGCTGGTGCCACGTGGCAGAGGGCAGATCAAAGAGCCACGTGTCACTGAAGTAGCCACTGTCGCCCACCCCTCCCAGCAGCAGCATCTGCGGGGCAGAGGAGAGGCGGATGGAAGGTAGAGAGAGGGGACAGGCAAGGTGGGAGAGAAGAGGATGCGCTGCCACGTGGCATGCTGGGTTGGTCTTTGTGAGAGCAAGGACAGACGAGTGAGGCACGTGGGCGGCACAGTGGAGATAAGTGGGGATGCTTGAGTTGGGTGGATTCATCATGCTACGGTTCATGACCGCCCGACCCGCTCAGGCTGGCGCATGCCACATGTGGCGCATCGGATCCGCGGCAGCAGCATTGCACCCACCGCACCGCATGAGTGTGGGATCAGCAAGAACCGTGCCTGGGTAGCGTAGTGCCACTTGTTGCCCACAACACATGGCGGTACCCACCTGCGAGGCCGTGACGGCCACCGCACTGTGGGCTGCCCTTGGCGCCGGCCACTGCGCTCCCGCTGGTGCTGGTATCTGCGAGGGAGACGGCATGCAGGGAGGGAGTGCATAGAAGGTGGGGGAAGAGAAAACGGTGTTGGGGGAGTGTGTGTGCGCTTGGAATACAGAATAAAGTCAGAATAGTAAGCAGAGCATCAACAGCGCTCTCCGTGTACTGACCCCTCTATCTCCGCGTTTATTCCTCCAGCCCATAGCTACCCCCACCCCCACCCCACAGCTGATATGCCCCACGGGTAACCCCTCAAAGCACACCCCCTCGCAGCCCTTGCCCAAGAGGACGCACATGTTGCCAGGAGAGGTCAGCGACGTGCAGCAGGTGCAGGTCGCTCAGGTACCGCGCGCCACAGTCGCCGCCGAACACCACCGCCACCTGCTGCTCGCCCGCCCCGCCCATCACCACCATGCTGTGGCTGTCGCGCGCACACGGGGGAGGGTGACGTGCCATGCCCCCTGGCGGGCCATGTGGCGCATGGGTGGCGGGCGGCAGTGAGTGCGGTGCATGGAGGCGGCACCACGTCAAGGACGGCACGTCCAGCGCCCACAGGTCGTTCAGATACCGCCCCTTGCCGCCCCCCTCGCTCATGCTGCCCCCCTCCCCTCCCCCGCCTCTCCGCTCCTCTCCCCTCCAGCCCTCCATGCCTCCCCCCCTCGCACTCCCATCCGTACCATCACGGCCCTCCTCGTCCCCACTGCCGCCGAACACCAGCACCGTCTCTCGCCACTCCACCGCACCCCCTCCCCCTTCGTCCTCCACCCCCTTACGCCGTGGCAGCCACAGAACCGCTGCTGCGTGGCTCTCCCTGGCAGGGGGGTGCACAGCAGCAAGCGCGCCAGGCTGCACGGGACCCACCCGCCCACACGGGGTGCCTCGGCTGCTGCCGTCCATGTCCGTGTCGCCGCCACTGCCCTGCCTCGTGCCCAACACCAGCCCCTCGCCCTCGTCCCTCTCACCTCCGTGCCGCACCACACTGCTGCTCGACACGTGCGACCCGTCACTGCCCCGCCTCTCCACCTGCCGCCTCCTCCCCTCTGCCCCCCTCCCCCCCTGCCTCGCTGTCACCCCCGCCTCGTCCACGCAGCTCACGCCACTCTCCACCTCCCCTCCGCCCCCCTGCTGCCCTCTCTCACCGCCTTCTCGCACCTCACTCCCCTCCACTCCCCCCTCCTCCATCGCACCACCCACCTCACTCACACTCCCACCCGCCACACACAGCGCACTCCTCTCCCCTGCCGCCCCTCCCCCCACGCGGTGCCACCGCTTGGAGGGCAGGTGCAGCAGGTGTGTGGCGGCGAGGCGGCGGCGGCCGTCGGTGCCGCCGAAGACGAGCATGCGGCCGCGGGAGAGCAGCGAGGCGGAGTGGCAGTCGCAGGGCGGGGGCAGATGGCCGTGCGCCGACAGGGGCGCCCAGGCGAGCGTGGTGAGGTCCAGCGCCAGCACGGTGGAGAAGTGCTGCGCTCCGAAACACCCCTGCAGGCGCGCGCATGGTAGGGCGCAGGGGGGAAAGGGTTGTAAGGCCGAGACAAGGAGGAAGGAGGGCGAGGACGTGTAGGGGAGCAGCAGGCAATGATGGCACAAGCACGAGCGTGCGACGTCACCCAAGTCTTCCTCTCACCCGAACCAACACCTCTCAACCAAACCGCCCTGCATGTCAGCGAGCACCTCAACGCCCACCCATGGCAACACAACACGTGGCGCGAACACGATCAGCGTGCCTCCACTCACCCCGAACACGGTCAGCGTGCCTCCACTCACCCCGAACACGGTCAGCGTGCCTCCACTCACCCCGACTCACCCCGAACACGATCAGCTTGCCATCCCACGCCACGGCGGAGTGCCCCCATCGCTCCTGCGGCCGCGCCCCCGCCACCGCCGCCTCGCGCCATCGCGCGCGCCACCGCCACCGCCGGCCCCCTTCGGCCCGCCCGCCGCTTCCCTCACCCGCCTGCCCGCCATGGGCGCTTGCACGCATCGGGCGGCAAAGGGCGGAGGTAGGCGGAGGGCTGTCGGGCGACATGTGGTGGGCGAGGCGACGCGACTAGGCGGCGGGCATGCGGCGACCAGCGTGGCTGCGAGCGAGATGGACGCGACGAGGTGAAAGGGGAGGAGAGAGGAAAGGAGTGGTGCTGGAAACGGGAAGGAATGAGCGGCGTGAGGCAAAGGAGGAAGTAACTTGGCGTCAACGAAACAATGACATCGCCCGTCCCTGCCGCAATATCTGCTGCCGTGTGGGCAGTGGCCCTGCGAACACGGCGACGCGGGAGGAGCATAAGAGCGGTTTGAGCCATCGCGATGGCGGCGTATCCGAACCAGTGGAGCAGGCCAGGCAGCGAATGAGAGCCTGGCAGGTGGCGGTTCCGAGTCGCGTGCAAGCAGGTGGTGTGGTGATCGTCCCTAGAATGTGACGTGACCAGCGACAGGCAGTAGACGCTAGTGCCGTGGGAAAACGCTCTGGTCATTTCGCCTCGAATTTCGCGACTTGATGGGATGGATGGCTGTTTCGTGTGGAATGTATGGAGGTAGCGAGAATTGCACTCAGTTGGCAAACGAGTACAAATGTGAGAGATCGAATGAACAAACATATATAGCTAAAATATGCAAACTCTACACGATGAGTTCGAGCTAGCCAGTGCGATGCTAGCAGTGAGGTTCGGGCTAGTCTCGAAGCGTAGGCCGAATCCGGCCAGTCCTGTCAGAATACTAAGCGAGGATGAATGAACTAGCATCAGGATGGATCAAGAGGTCACAAGACCAGTCAAGAAAAGCAAAGCAAGCTCAGGGTGGATCACGAAGTTACCACACACCCCCATAGGCAAAGTAGGGGAGAACAAGAGGTCACAAGACCAGTCAAGAAAAGCAAAGCAAGCTCAGGGTGGATCACGAAGTCACCACACACTCTGAGTACAAGCAAATGGCCACAATGCTAGTTCACATGCAGAGTTATATAATGGAGAACAAGCAGTACAGTGATCAAACCTAGCAAGTGTAAGCATGCAGGTATAAGTATATAGATCACAATACAAGCAAAGTCAAGAAGTGAGCAAGTGAGGCCAAGTAGGTACAAGGCCTAAAACAGTACAGAAACGCTGATGATCACAAGGCTGAAGTGCCTTGGTGAAGATATCAGAAGTGTTGGCCCGAGAGGCCACGTAAGCAAGACGAAGCTGACCACGCTGCTGCAACTCTCGAGCAAGGAAGTAGCGCAGAGCGATGTGCTTCGTTCTGTGCTCCTGACACAAGACAATCATGGCCTTGTTGCCGACGTACAGAATTGGAGGAGAACGAGGCGGCTCTCCCAAGTCGGTCAGCAGGTAGGTAAGCCAGCGTAACTCCTTTGCAGCCATGGCCCCAGCGTAGATCTCAGCCTCACAGCTGGAACTGAGAACAGAAGACGAGCTTGTAGACCGCCACGAAACGGAGCCGGAGCCAAGGCTGAAAGTGTAACCCTGTGACGACCGCTGAGTAGCCAAATCGTCAACCCAAGAAGCGTCTACGTGGCCAATGAGGACACTTCGAGCCCGTCCTCCAAGCACGAGCCCCATGCCCGACGTACTGCACAAGTAGCGCATCACCCTCTTAGTGGCCTTCCAGTGCTCTGGTCGGTGTCTCCCGGGCGCAACGTAGCGTGCCAGGATGCTAAGAGGGTAGGCAAGGTCAGGTCGAGTCCAGCTCATCAGGTACATGAGGCAGCCCACAAGCTCTGGATACGGGCCACTCGGCTCTACGGACTCGTCCAAAGATGGAGCTGAGAGCGAGTGACCGGTAGGCAGAGGAGTGGACTGTGGCAAGGAGTACTAGAAGTCGAAGCGCTGAAGGACCTGCTGCACCATGTGTGACTGAGTCAAGGTAATGGTGCGCCGTGCTCTGTCCCGGGTGATCTGCAAGCCAAGATAGCTACGCAGCTCACTCAGGTCTGTGCACGTGTGTCTCTTCTGCAGCTCCGACTTCGATGGGGCCAGTTCCTTGCGGAGATAACTACTACAACGGGAGCTAGACTACGGGCTAGGCACGGGTGCTCGTGTGATCTCTGCGTTCATAGGTCCTTAGTTGTTTTCCTAGTGCACACACTGCTTGCTAGTTCACGGGGCAAGTTGGCAAGAGTTTCACTAGAGAAAGTTGACAACAATGGTACAAAGAAGTTGGCATAGCAAGACTACATCAGAGCTAGCATTCAGGTCGGTCAACTGCCAGCGCAGCACGGTCGACCGCGTTCCAGCACGACTTGGTCGACCGCGCTCCAGCAGTGCAAAGTCGACGGCGTGCCAACGTTGCAGGTTGACGGCGGGCCAGCGTTGCTCCCGCAGAACAGCATCGCACCAACTTCGCAGGTGCTCGCAGATGATTGGCGTGCGGAGCCTTGTCACCTACACATCGCACACACCAAGTCAACCTGGCGCTGATGACTGCCTCTGATCACCCACGTCGACCTCGGGATACCACCACCGAGGTCGGGCTCGCCAACTTCGCCTGGGCGACCGTCGCACTCCTCCGCAGAACCTCGTCACCCAGGTAACCTGGTCGATCGGGCAACCACGTCGACCACGTCGACCTCCCAAGTCGACGACCATCCCAAGTCGACCTCACCAGGTCGACCACGCCCCTGGTCGACCAGCTCCAGGTCAACGTCACTCCTGGTCGACCAGCTCCACGTCGACCAGCACTCCTGGTCGACCAGCTCCATGTCGACCAGCGCAGATGTCAGCCGACCACACAAGTCGGCTACTCGAAGTCGGCGTCACCAAGTTGACGCCTTGCTACTCGACGCCCCGCTACTCGGCGTCCTGAGTCGAGGTCGACGTCGGCCCCTCCTCCGTCGACCACCAGGTCAGGTCGACCACCAGGTCGACATCACGCCTGGTCGACCAACCACCAAGTCGACCAGCAGTCCTGTCAGCCGACCACCCAAGTCGGCTACTCAAAGTCGACGCCCTCTGCAGATCGACTTCCCAGGTCGACCTACCTGAGGTCGGCGCCACCCTGAATTCGGCGCCCGTGCAGTGGCTCCCACTGCTGCAGGTCGGCTGCTCCCCTCACAACCGACCACGAAGTCGGCTCCACCCAAGCGAGGACAGGGCCAACACACAACTCCCGTTGACACTCCCCTGCCGCGTTCACGCTTGGGCCCCTAGCCTACACGGCAGTACTCCTCGGAGAATAGCTCGTCGACGTGCACCCAACACACAGCACGTCGTCCACCGCACCAGCCATGCAAGAGGACATGGCACCTACTGCTGCACGTCGTCTTCGTCGCCCACGTCGGCCAAGCGCACCTGGCCGATGGCGACGGAGCACCGGTTGAAGGCCGGATAGTGCAGTGCCTTCGTCAGGAAGTCGGCCGGCTGCTCGGTGGTCGGGATGTACCTCAGCGAGAACTTCCCGCGCTTCACCATGTGCTGCAGCCAGGCCTGTCGCCGCTCCATGTGCTTGAGGTTGCCCGTCAACCCCATGCCCTCGGCGATTGTGATGGCCGACTTGCTGTCCACCCGAAGGACAGTCGGCTTCCCGACATCCAGCTGCCGGAACTCTGCGAGGAGGAAGCGAAGTCGGCGTCCCTCCTTGCCGGCTTCGGTGGCCGCCACGTACTCCGACTCGGTCGACGACAACGTCGCGCACTTGATGCGCTGGCTCGACCAGGAGACTGCGGCCCCTCCTTAGACGAACACGTAGCCGCCCGTGCTCGTCCTATTCTGCTTGTCACCGGCGTCGTCGACGTCCACTTAGCCGACCAGCTCCAGTGACTCAGGTCCACCGCCGAACTCCAAGGCGGTGTCACGTGTGTTGGCGAGGTAGGCGAGGCAGCGGTCGACCTCGCGCCAGTGCTGGTCGCTCCTCACCGTGAGGCCGCTCCCCAGCTTGCTGCAGGCGAAGGCGATGTCCGGCCTCGTCGTCGTCGCCGCGACTTGCAGCGAGCCGACCTTCTGCCGGTACTCCTCCTCCTGTCGCTCCTGTGCCTCCTCGTTGTCGAAGGTGAGCTCGGCGTAGGCGTCGACCGAGACCAGCGTTTTTGGGGTGCGCCCGGTCTGCTCTTCGTCGATGAATCGTCGGCGTAGCCCTGGTGGTGCAGCCACAGCTTCCCCGCCGACCTGTCGGGAACGATCTCCAGCCCGAGGTACTTCTGCACCGGCGAGATCTCACGCAGCTCGAAGGCGGACTCCAGCAGCTCCTTCAACTCCTTCAACATCTCGGTGCTGCTGCTGGCGGCAAGCAGGTCGTCGACGTAGACCAGCACCCAGTAGGCTACTCCGTTGTTGCCGACCTTGAAGTAGAGAGCCTCGTCGACGTGGCTCTTCTTCCACCCGGCGCCGACCAGCACGTCGTTGAGCGCCAAGTACCACAGCAGCGGCGACTGCTTCAGCCCGTACAGGCTCTTCAGCAGCTTGCACACCCGGCCGGTTCCGTCGTTGAAGTAGTCCGGCTGGGACATGTAGAGCACCCGGTCGAGCTTGCTCTGCAGGAAGGCGTTCTTCATGTCGAGCTGCATCAGGTTGAGGTTGACGACGGCGACGATGCTGAGGAAGATCCTCAGCGTGACGTAGCTGCCCACCGGCGCGAACGTCTCGTCGTAGTCGGCGCCGTACACCTGGGTGAAGCCCTTCACGACCAGCCTCGCCTTCTCGCGCTCGACGGTGTCGTCGACGTGGTACTTCGTCGTCAACACCCACCGGTTCTTCATGATGTTGACCCCCGGCGGGCGTTCGACCAGCTCCCTGGTGCCCATGTTGATGAGGCTGCGGATCTCCTCCTCCATGGCGGCCTTCACCGCCGGGCCCTTCCAGCTCGCCAAAGCCTCCTTCACCGTCATCGTCGAGATGTCCCAACGGTGCTCGGGGTCGGCCAGCATGTCCGGGTCGAGCTCCGAAAACTCCTCATCCTCCTCGGCGTCGTCGTACAGCAGGTCGTCGTCATCGTCCACGTCGTACACCGTGGTGAAGGCAGCGGGGACGAAGAAGTCCGGCGGCCTCCGAAGCCTATCCGACTTCTGGGGTTCAGGCCGAACCTCCACCACGTCACTCTTGG